TACCACGTAGATTCTGTTAATATTCCTGTTTTGCAGATGAGGCAGCTGAGGCTCAGAAGAGGTGAGGGACTGGTTCAGTATCACACAGTCTGCAGGGGTAGACAGAGCTGGGACTAGGGTGAGGCAAGCACAGGTGTGGCCCCAGGTGCAGCACCTGAGGCAGACTCTCGCTCAGGGTCACATGCTTGCACGTGAGTGCCCCCTTCAATGTTGCACCCTGCATGCCTCACTGCTTCACCCTAGATCCTGCCGTTTGGACCCGTTCTTCCTGACTCCCAGGCTGCATTATCTCCAGTGTGCTGGGTCCCCTCTCTTTCCTTGACTTGCTGCTGGCTCCTGAGGTGTCAGTCAGCCCTCAGGTCAGCTTTAAGACATCCCCCAGCTTTTCTCTAGTCCAGGTGCCTCCCTGTGCACACGAGGGAACTAAGGTGCCGAGAGTAGACAGGCTCACTCATGGCCCTGAGCAGCAGGGTAGACACTAGGACCCTCTGACTTTCTGTCCTGTGCCTTCCTTCCTGGAGACCCCTTTGCTTCACCTCTCTGTCACTCCCTTTGCTCCACCAGCATCCCCGGAAGCCCCTACCTCTGCCTGAGGCATTGATCATTGGCCTTTGTGACCTTTCAACTCACAATACCAGAGATCTGCCTGGGCTTTTCCCTCTGGGGCAGGGAGAGCTTCAGTTCCCCCCAGGGTTGCAGGGTACGGGATAGCCAGTTCCCAGCAGCATTAGATCCTGCTGATTCAGTTCTGAAGTGGGCCTCGGTTTCCTCATCTGTCAAGCAGGCATCAGTCCTGCCTTCCTCCCAAGGCTGTGTGACAGTCAGATGGAAAAACAATGCTGGGGAAAATACTAAGTGTTTTGCAAATGTTACTGGTTATGCAAATTTCTATCATTTGGGGGGCCCAGGAGCCCCCCTCCTAGTGATAGCATATGGCAGGCTCAGATGGGCTGAAGCATTTCAGGGCAGAAGCCGGGATATAAATTTAATTCTGAATCTCACCTTTTTCAACCCTCTTCTTGGTTGGAGGCTGCAATTTGGGCCCACACTCCCACCCTCTCACACCCCCTTAGCTGCTGCCTGTCGCCCTATCACACTGCTGCCTCCTCCTCTTTTTTGGGCTGCTAGCTCCTTCAGTTTCAACAGCATCACTTCCATCTTCACTGTGTGGTCACTGCCTGGCCTGTCTGGGCCCCTTTCTGCCCCCAAACTGGGGCTTTCTGGTTACAGTGGGCACCCCAGGCCACTCGGAGCGGCTGTGGGGACATCCCCACCCCACCCCCTGCCCCTAGCTGAGGTTTTGTTTTGGAAGGAGGTCTGAGCTGGCTGCCTCTTCACCGCTGGCTGTTTCTGATTTTGGAAGACAGGTTGGTGTTCCACTGCTGGAAGGGCATCTGTTGATCTGTAGCTGCTGGAACAAGGCCAGGTGATAGGGTCAGCACAGACCCCCAAAATAATCTAGGGTGGGGACTGTCCTTTCCAGTGAGATTCCAGTGCAGGAGCAGAAATGGAGGGCTGGGGCATGGGCAGGCTGGAGAGAGAGCAGGGACCTTCTGGTTCCAGCTCCATCCTGACTTTTGGTGACTTTGGTCTTCATGCTCTGGCCCTGACTGGTGGCCTTCATATCATGAGGGAGAGTTAGAGGGCTCCAGGACCCTAGGTGCTGAGTTCCTGCACTGCCCCAGGTGAGGGGTGGGATCTGTGACCCAGCTCACTGTCAGCCTAGGGGGCAGGAGAGTATAATGCGGCCCCTCATCTGGAGAGCCCCTGGACGCTGGTTGCCGGGTTATAGTCTTGGCCTCGTTGCCCTTGAAGATTCCTGTGCAGCTCTGTCATCCTGGGAATGATCCTCTCTCCAGGAAAGGTTATAAAAACCACCCTGGTCTGGAGGAGAGTTCCTGTCTGCCCAGCAGTCATCCTGGAACTGCTGACGACCATCTGGGTGTGAGGTCATAGAATGTGGAAATTCCCTTTTTCTCTCTTTGTCTGTCTTTTCTCCAGAAGTCCAGACCCTCCCTTGGGTGGCTCCTCTGATCTCCAGAGCTGGTTTTCTCACAGTAGGCTCTTTCATCTTTCTTCATCTGCCCACTGCCTGGCAGCATGATCTGCTCCCCACTGAGGCTGTAGTTGAGGAGAATGGCACTGCGTGCCCCCTCTTCTGCTTCCCCTGAACCCCCGCTGGTCTCCCCAGCGCTGAGGGAGAGCCTGAGCGCTGTGTGGTTTGGAGAATGTGGAGGTAGGCTTTTGGTTCCTCTATCCTGCATCCTGCTGTGTCTCCTAGCCTTATATCTGGGCATCTCTGAGGGAGCATGGCTATGCCAGCCCTGATTCTAGAAGTGTGTGGTTGCTCAGAGTGCCTCTGATCAGCAGGTCATAGTCAGGCTCTTGGAATGTTTGCACGTGGCCTCTCAGGAGCCAGGGGCAGTGGCTCCTCTGGTCCTCTCTCTGCTCTGATTAGAGATTTATTGAGGCTTTCTTCTGGACCACTCTGAAGATACCCTGGTAGATAAGATCCACAACAGCCCCTGCCCTTGTGGAGCTTCTGATCTATTGGGCAAACCAGATGTGACGCAAAAAGCATGCCCAACTTATCACTTAGTATCTATCATCTGTCAATTCCATTGTGGGTGGGTGCAGAGTGGTGAGCAGGAACTGGGACTCCTGCGCCACTTATCGCCAAAGGTGGCTACAAGCCCCTTCCAGTTCTCAGTCTCTCCCTTGGTGAACTCCATTCAGCTGTCAATCACCAGCTCACCTTCCAAGTGTCACACCTGTATAAACAGAAAGTTCTCCATCAAATGCACAAATGCTTACGGCACTCAGATACAGTCCTTACTGGTCAGTGAGCGTGTTGCTGGAGCAGCACACAAGGGGAAAGGGGAGCATGGAGGAAGGACCCCCTCCCAACAACATCTACCAACATTTCTGAATACCTTGCTCCGCTCCAGTCATTGCAGTAGTGCTTTACGCACACTGTCTATTACTTAATTCAGTGAACATTTCAGGGCTTTCTTGTTCTACTGTGTAGCACTGACCTTTCAAGTTGAAAACAAGCCCCCACCCCCCCAGCTGAGTGATGACTTTTACGTGCGGCGGGCAGGCAGCTGTCCTTTGCCTCCGTGGGGCCCAGCAGGGCGTGGGTGCCTCTCTCTTTGTGTACTCATCTTCTCTGTTTGTCAGGCTTTGAGGGAGGGGTCCCGCTCACCAGAACTTTATTTTTCTTTCCGGTCCATGATAATATGGACCCTGTGGGCAAAATCCTTGTTATTTCTTGTGCTTCAAGGCAGGGGACACAATCCAGAGGGTACCTAAGATCTCCCTGTTACCCTACAGACTGGCTTAAACTCCTCTGTCCTGAGTCTTGTTGGGGGAGTGTAGCAGGGGTGACAGTTTTCTTAGGCCGAGCTGGATTTGCATCTCGGCTGTCACCTGCTGGCCATGCAATCCCGGCCCAGTGACTTAACCTCACTGAGCTTTCCACATCATGTGAGGATAATTTAGTATGTATCTTAGGGTTGTCCTGCAGCTTACCTGAGATAGTATACCTGAGGCTTTTAATGCAGTGGCTGGCACATAGGGGATTCATGAATGGTGGCTGTTATTATTAGTCCCTTTTCACTGTTTTTTCAGAGAGCACTGTGTGGGTGCTCACAGGGCCTGTGGGGATGGTGATCTTGCGAGGGAGGTTTCGGTGCCCCAAGTCCTTCTGAGGTCCTGGTGGAGGCCTTTGGAACCTTTTTGTGTTGGGGAAGCTCTTTGTAGGGCTGGAGGCTGGATGAGTTTTTCAGCCTCAGAGCCTTTGCACTTACTGTTCTGTCTGCCTGAAATATTCTTCTCCCAAATATCTACATGGCTAGTTCCTTCACTTCCTTCAGATCTTTGCTAAAATAACTCCTTCTCTGTGAGGCCTTACCTGATGGTTCCACATACAATTAAAGTCCCTGCCTTATGCATCCCTGTTTAATTTTGTCCATAGATTTTTCATCACCCCTAATACTATGTCTGTTTATCTATCTATCTATCTATCTATCTATCTATCTATCTATCTATCANNTGTAAGCTCCATGAGGGATTTTTGTCTGTTTTGTTGGCTGATAATTTCCCAGCACCCAAACTGGTACCTGGCACAGAGCAGGTGCTCAATAAATAACTGCTGAATGAATGAACGAATGCAAGAAATAAGTTTGATTCTGAAATCGCTTCGCAGAGTGGTTTCAAATGAAAGAAAGCAGATGAAATTGAACAGATTAATGCAAAAACATTTGTGCAAGTAGATAGTGGTTTAGTGGAAAATTCATCTGTTCATTAGAACTGGAAGGGACATGCCATACATGATATGAAACTGAAGGAGGAGGGCGACAGTGTCAATTAGTATATTAAATATTAGTCAGGGTTTTTTCTTCTTTTAAAAAAGGATGGTATACATATAAATGGAACTTTGGGTTGGATTGACTTGCTTATCCCTTAGGGCATAAGCATTTTGCTGTAAAGATCACTGATTTAGTGTAAGACTTTCATTTCCCCTCCACAGGGAGGGAAGGGACTGCCCATGATTTCACAGTGAGTTAATGGTTAGACCACTTATTTACTCAGTAAGTGTTCATTGGGCATTCATTTCATAGCTAATACTGTGCTGTGTGCTGGGGATGCTGTGATGCAGGGTCCCTGTCCTTCTGGACCTCACCAATAGGACATAAACTCAAGCTTTTTGACTCCAAATCCAGTGCTTTCTTATATTCCATCCACATTGCACTTTATAGTTGTTTGCTGTTCCAAATGAACCAGCAGTGCAGTGAGGCTACTGGAAGAAACTGATGCCATTCTTAGGTTGCATTAATAGAGGCAGAGCGTCCAGATCAAAGGAGATGACTGTCTTGATCTGCTGTACTGTGGCCAGACCAGCCTGAAGTGCTGTGTTCTCTTCTGGGTTATGGGGATTGCCTTCTGGGGCACCTCAGTGGCCTGGCCAGCCCCCTGATTTCCTGCTGTTGTCCTTACAGCCAGGCGGGTACCACGGCAGGGGCTGAGCCACCCTCATGGAAGGGAGAGGACCGTACCGGATCTACGACCCTGGGGGCAGCGTGCCTCCTGGAGAGGCGTCCACAGCTTTTGAGCGCCTAGTGGAGGAGAATTCCCGACTAAAGGAAAAAATGCAAGGGATAAAGATGTTAGGTAAAACAGATGCCGCACTTTCCTTGCAAGCCTCCTCCCTGTAGCCTGCAATGCCAGCTGGCATATGCCTCCACCCACATCATCCCTCTGTCCTTCCTGGCCCTGCGCTGGCTCCTGCCCCACAGCTGTGTCTTTATGCACTTCCATAGCATGGTGGCAGCATTCCCAGCTCTGAGTCCCCAGCACCCCAGAACCACAATGACAGGACTCAGAACATCTCGAGGGACTGAGAAAGAAGTGTGGGGTCAGGGAGAGGGAGCTGGAAGGCCCATTTTGTGGATGTGGAAACTGAGTGGCCTTGTCTTCCAGAACACCAGAGAGAGGGAGAGCTGACATCACCGGGTCAATCAGGGTATGTCCTCCAAGTGTTGGAGCAGGGAGCCAAGCTTGGCTTGAGGCAGATGGGAGTAGGTCCCTTGATTTCCCTTTTCCTGGCTTTTCTCAAGCTGTCCCTACTGCCAAGAGGAGCCCCACCTACCTCCGTATAACTGAGTTGTCCCTATCCATCAGCACCCAGCTCAGATGTCATCTCCTCCTCCACGAGAGACATTCATTGATTTCCCCATGCAGAGAGGACTTTCTTTCCTCTAAACTCCTAAAACTCTTCCTTTGCCTTGCTGCCACCTTCTCTGGTCTTGGACTTTGGGGGCCAGCTCAGTTCCCCAATTTTTCAAATGTTTTCTCCTTGCTTTGCAGACCGCTGCTCAGAATGGCAGATTGGGGAACAGGGAGTGGGGTCCCACTGGTGGGAGGAGGAAAACAGAGGCCTGGAGGGTGGTTAGTACTATCCAGGGTCTTGTCCCTTTAGACTGCCCTTCACTGTGGACGCAGGCTGTGGGTGGCCCCCGGGTGCCATGACGGTAGGTTTAAGAGAGCCCTGGCTTTCTGTGGAGTCCTAGCCAGCTATGGCAGGAGTGGGGCAGGAAGAGGGTGCCAGGGGCCAGGAGTTTGTCCTCGATCCCCCTCCACTCCTTCTTCCCTGATTTCAGGGCCTATTCCCCTCCACTCCTTCTTCCTTAGTGGCCTATTTATGGCTGTGGGCTGGAATGATCTGTGTTCCACTCAACCCACAGGGCAATGATGGAAGTGTCCAGGGCCTGGAGTGTCAGAAGCCAGGCTTAGGGGCACAGGGTAGGGAGAACCCGCGCACAGAGCTAAGTAATTCTTTCACTCCTCCTTTCCCTGTTCTTTCCAGGGGAGCTTTTGGAAGAGTCCCAGATGGAAGCATCCAGGCTGCGGCAGAAGGCAGAAGAGCTAGTCAAAGATAGTGAGCTGGTCAAGGACAGGAAGCTGCTCCCACCACCGTCTCCCACTTTGGCCTCCTTTGATCACCTCCCTGAGCTCGCAGGTCCAAGGGGACCCCGGGTTGTCTTCTACCTTTCCTTGTACTCCCAGCTCCCTGAACATTTACCCTTGGGCCACAGGCCATGCTCTCAGTCGTGTTTTGGATAGGACTGCAAAATAATATCCCCAAAAGGCTGGTGACTCAGCCCTTCCGAGGCCCTGGCAGACATTAGTTATTGATCACAGTAATCCACTGCATCTAAGATATGGCCTCAAGATCTTTATCAGCACATTTATTCAGCAAATATTTAATGAGCAGCTACTGTGTGCCAGGCAGAACACTCCAGGCATCTATTTCAGGTCACTCAGAGTCGGCATATGAGTCAGTAGCTCTCTGGTCTGGCCCTCCTCCTGGGGAAGCTGACGCCCATGGAAGAACCTGGACTTGCCTGTTAGCCTACTGCAATGTATTTCAGATTGAAGTTACATGTGCTACCTGTTAATGGAGAGTGCTGACTGTGACTAAGGGTTAAAGTCCTGTGTGTGGTCACCGTGCATTCCTCTGGCATGTCTCCATGTCCAGGGCAAGATCTGGGGCCAGGGGAGAAAAGGTCTCCACACGTGGAGCTTAGAGGCCTCCTGCTGCAGCCCCACCTACAGTGTTAGCCCAGGCCAGCCTGCCAGCCTTCCATGTGGCTGAATGGACAAATGGAGGAAAGTAATGATCTCAGAGTCCACTGCGCTGTGTTCAGTGGGTGATTCCAGCCTCCACTTTTCCCCTCAGCAATGTTCTCTGAGTCCCAGATTGGTGCCAGGTCCATCCCCAGAGTGAGATGTCAGCTACCCTCAAGGGACTCCCTGTGGCAGTAGCGCCAGGAGGTCAGGGAGGGAGAACCAGGTTTGAGTTTTGGTTTTTCTCTTGCTGGCTATGTGACTGTGGGCCAGTTGGTGACTTTTCTATGCCTCAGTTTCCTTACCTTTAAAATGAGAATTCAAAGCTGCCATGAGAATTGGCTGAGATAATAAATATAAAAAATACTTTGTTAATTGTAAATTGTCATCCTTGTCATCATTGAGGTAGGTCCAGGGTAGCAAGCAGCAGTGACCAGCAAGTCCAGCGAAGATTCTCTCTGCCCAGGTTCTGTCCCTGCCATTTCAGGGCCGGTCATTTCCCCAGGCTCCCTGGCCCTGGTGGGACTACCTCCCATTTCCCCAGACTCATGGAGGGAACTCAGAGAACTCTTCTGGCCAAGGTTGTCCTCAGGGGGCTGGTATCTGCGCTTTTCTCCTTTCCTGCTGCTCATCCATGTTTTTTCAATTCTTCAGGAAAGAATGCAAATGTCCCAGCACCCTCTGCCGACCCTGCACTCCCCAGTGACAAGCCAGAGCCAGTCCAAAAACCTCCATCCAGTGTAAGTTGCATTTGGAATCCTGGCTGAAAGTTGCCTGGACTTCCAGGTCCTTTTGGTAGATACAAGGACATGAAGAGAGAGGGTTGGGGTTCTAGAAGCCCAGGTTCTGACTTGCTGGGTGATGTTGGGCAAGCTGATCTCAGTCTTTGTAGGGTCTCGGTTTCTGCATTTTTAAATGAATGTCACAGTTGAAACTTAACCAGGAAGACCCTGATATGCACAAGGAGTTCCTCCCATGTAGTAAGTTACGCAGTGTGAAGCATGTGTACACTGTGCACAGTGCTAGGAAGACAGATGGAAGTGACATGGAACTCACATTCTCAGAGGGGCTGAGGATTTGCCTCCAGAAATTTCGCTTGGTATCCTAGGACTGGAAGGGACTCAAGTAATTGTATCATTTAGCGTCTTCATCCTACAGATCAGGTCTGGAGTGAGAAGAGCATTTTCCAAGGTCATGTAGACAGAGGGGGAAAGGTAGAGGTGAAAGGGAGATTTTTTAGGGCAGGGTCAAGATTCAGAGCTGGCTTGCTGGTGGCCCTGAGGCTCAGCAGAAGCTGCGAGTGGAGATCCTCTCATTCATGTCCCTCCATCTGCCCTTTCCGAGGGAAGGCTGAGATCATCTCTGTAGACCAGGGTTAATAGCAATTCCAGAGCCAGTTGCTAGTTCAGAGGGACCATCGGCCTATCTGTTGGTTGCACAACCTGTACATTCTACTTGGAGTGGCTGAAATCAGAAAAAGACAGAGTCCTCGACCAGCCTGGATCTGGGTGAATCCTGAAAAAATCAAAATTGGTTCACTCATCTTTGCGATTTATCCCAGATCTGGGCTTTCTGAGGCTGGTTTGGCAAGGCTGGCACAGGACTGCCTTGGTGGTGGCCACACTGCTGTCTGTGTTCTCCAGGTGATCAGCCGGGGACACCTGGGAGACAGCTCTGGTGCCGTAGCAGGAACATTGGTTTTGTAGGCCTCGGGTTGAGTTCCAACTTTTGCATTAACTAATGAAATGCCCTCAGTTTCTCCATCTGTCCAAAGGGGATATAACCCTCTCACCATGGCAGAGTTCAGGAAAAGATTTTAAAAGTGCAAGTTTAAAAAAAAAGATCCTGAAGTTTTCGTGGTTCAAGATCAGCTAGTCCAGTATCCCTGTTTTACAGATGAGGAAACTGGTCACGGAGGGCCTGTGAGCTCAGATCTCACAGTGAGTGGGTTGTGGGCAGACTTGTTGTATCCTGCTTCATGGTCTCACATGAACTGACTGCCTGGGGAGCTCAGCTCTGCACAGAGGGGCTGCTGGGATGAATAGGATGTGTGAAAAGATTTTGTCCATCCATTCCCTACCCCTCCCTGCTGCTCTCAGCTGTGGGTTCCACAGGAGGAGCATGGAGTTTTTCTCTCAGCCACTAACTCCCTTTCTGCACAGGGCACCTCCTCTGAATTTGAAGTGGTCCCCACTGAGGAGCAGAATTCTCCACCAGAGAGCAGTGGCTGCACCAGAAACGTGATGGTGAGTGGATGGCAGGTCCCTGTGCACATCCCATGTCTCCTCTCTGTTTCAGTCACCTGGGCCTGGGTGAGAGGCACAGGACGTACCCAGGTCCCTTGGGCACCCTGGAGTCACTTGGGGATCCATGGGGGACCAGAGCAGGGGATGCTTCTCACTCACACATGCAAATCCCTTGCTGGTGACTTCCCCTACTTGGGTCACACAGGGGCCTGCTCATTGTGAAAGCCTGGGCACATCATCAGCCTGCTGGTCTCCGCTGAGTGCCGGGCACCTCCACACACTCTGACTCAGCCTCTGGGCTGGTGGGCTTCTGCCTGGGTGGAATAGAGCAGCTTGTGGCAGGCAATTTACCATTTTTTGCAGGCTGAGTATTAGAAAGGTGCCGTGTTTTGTCTCCTGGGAATTTCTGTCCCCTTGTCCTGTTCTGTCCCTGAGGGCTCTGAACCCCCAGCTCAGAAAGTATTTGCCTTATGACCTTGAACCAGTAACTTCATATCATTTATAAGTTCCTCCTTAGCTCCACCATGTGCCTAGTCTGTGCTGAGCAAAGACAAGATGCCTCCCTGCCCTCTGGGAGCTGGTAGGCTAGTTGGAGAAATCAGAGGATGGAAGCAATTCATGGCCCTTAAGTAGATGAGCATTCGCCACCTCAAATCCTTTGTGAAGAGAGGCAGTCGGGGCAGGGGTGTGTGTGTGATGAATGCAGAGTTGAAGAAACAGCATTATCTCCTGTTAGAATAAGGTATAACAGTATTACATGGGCACTCACTGAACATCAGGAAGCCTAAGTTCCAGTCCTGGCTCTGCCACTGGCCCGCTGGGCGACTCTGGGCAAGTTCCTGCTCCCCCTACCTTAGTTCCCCAGCTTGAACCCCGAGGCTCCCCATAGCTCTGATGTCCTGAGACTTTCATAAATGTTTAGGGGAGGCCTGTTAGAGGAGCTGAAATTGTAGGCAGGGCCAGGAACAATGAGCAGAGGGGACACTGTGGGAATGGAGCTCAAGGAGGTGTAGGGGCTCAGCTAGGGGAAGGTGGGGTCTCAGATGCCTGGCAGGGTAGCAGCCATAAGGTGCCACTATTGATCCTCGGGCACAGTGTTGGCGTAACTAAGGCACTGTCTTTGGAAGGAATGTTGTAGGCACAGGAGAGATGGAGAGAGAGAGTTTGATTATTGAAATTGGACTGTCTTGCCCACAGTATGCTTCCTTTCTTATGTACTCTACTGGATTGGGATTCTTTAAATATCTAGAGCTATGATTCTTAACCTGTTTTGAGTCTTGGGTCCTCTGAGGAGCTGATGAATGCTGGGGCCATTCCCCAAAAGACATATGTATAGACATAAAAGTCAGGCAATTATGATCTCTGCATGGCTCCCTGGTCAAAACTCCCTGAGCCAAAGAAGCAGTACTGTAGAGTGAGGCCCTTTTCCTGGGCTTGCTGCTTTCACGTCAATTCATCCTCCTGAGAACTTTGTGAGATGGAGGGAAGGGGTGTGTGTACATGTGGTAGATGAGGATTCTGGGGCTCAGCACATGAGTGATCCGCCCTGAGGCACTCGGCAAGGCCGAGTGTGGGAGGAAAGTGGCTCCACTGCTGGTAAGCCAGCGGGTGGCCTGGGAGTCCCGGGTCCTGCCCTGTGAGTCAGCCCCAGAGAGGGAACCTGCGTAACTGGAGAATTTCCCTGGGCTGAGCTGGGATCTGAGGGGGAAACTGAGTCATGAAGAATGGGGAAGCAGAGGGAGAATGGCTGGCAGCACCTACTCAGACCCTGGTAAAGAATGGTCCTTGTCCCCTCCCCCTTGCTAGGAGCTGGGCCCCCTGCCTCACGAAGACGGCAACCTGATGCTGCACCTGCAGCGCCTGGAGACTACCCTGAGCGTGTGCGCCGAGGAGCCGGACCACAGCCAGCTCTTCACCCACCTGGGCCGCATGGCCCTCGAGTTCAACCGGCTGGCGTCCAAGGTGCACAAGAATGAGCAGCGCACCTCCATCCTGCAGGTGAGGCTGGCCGGGACAGTCACCTGGGGTGGGCAGCTCCCCCCCCTCCAGCTCTTCTTGGGAATCGAGGGTACTCTGAGGACTTCTGAGAATGACGTTGACATTAGGGGCTGACCTTGGGCTTCTTTAGGGTGGTGAGCAGGGTAAGGAAGTTGTGGCAAGGCATGAGGAAGAGGAAGGAAATTAGGAAATACGGGATCGGCAATGCAGATTTCATGGTTGGGGTATCCTCGGGCCTTGGGTGTGGGCAGGTTGGCAACAGCCCTGCCCTGTTCTTCACAGACAGGTGGGGAAAGGGAGGGGACAAAAGCAGGAGGACCATCATTATCCCCACTTCATAGGTGGGGACACAGCCCTTGAGAGGTTATTTATTTATTTTTGTGTAAGTTTACCCAGCTGGTAGATGGTGCCCTTGGGATTTGAACCTCAATCTGTCATATTCCAAAGCCCATGCTCTCAACCACCATCCCAGCTTGGCCCCCCCAATAGAGGAGGCTTCCTTTCATAACCCTCCTTGTGCCATGGGAATGAAGCCAGATTTACTTCCTAGGCCAGCCCCAGGCCTTGAAATCATATGGTCCTTGATTCCAGTAGGGACTCTATTGCAGAATGACCTTGGACAAGTCATTTATCCTCTGTGTCCTTCACTGTCCCTGTCAGTGAAATGGTGCTGGGAGTGCCTACCTCATGGGATGGCTGTATTAAATGAAGCCCCTGGTACAGTCTAGAACATAGTAAGTGCTCGAAAAGGGCTCACTGTTAGGATGTGATGATGACCAGACATCCGTTCTGGGCAGAGGATCTTAGCCTTGAGGGTTTGAGGGTAGGGAAGGATTCACAGATGGTGAAACTGAGGCTCCTAAGGGACCTCCTCAGGACCTGAGCACCTGTCCTCTTAGTGACAGAGCTGTTACTTTAAGTCTCCTTCCTCCCTCCCAGGCCCTACTATACCAGTCACTGATCTGTGGGCTCATTTGTGGCAGCAAACATTCACGTGCCCAGTTAATGGGGGAAAGGACTACCGTGTGTGACCTCAAGAAGAGCCTAGGTTGACAAGAGCAGGAGGGGTATCCAGGCTAGAGACACAGTGTGGGGAGCAGAGGACCTCAGGAAGAGCTCAGGATCCCCATTTTACCTCAAGGAGTACGCTGGGAGGCAAAGCTGGAGAAGTGATTGGAACCCGGGAGTCAGGCTGAGGGAGAGATTCTCAGATGTCAGCAAGGCTGAGAGGTGTCAAAGCAGGGCACTGGGGAGGAGAACTCGGTGCATCACATGAGTGAGATGATTTTCAGTGTCAACTTTTCGGCTTTGAAATGGGGATCGATACTGGGCCTCATAAAAGGAGGTCCTGTCAACCTCGGCTATTTTTTATATCAGGCCCCTGTTTGTTTCCTTCTTAGCTCTTATCATAGTTTATAATAATTTTATTAGGTGGTTTATTTACTTTGCGGTTCTTTCCCTTGCACTTTCCGCTAGAATATAAGCCTCACAAGAGGGGCGGTACCCTGCCTGTCATATTCATCACTGTATCCCAGTGACTGACACTTAATAGGTGCTTAATGCACATTTGGTGAACAAAATAACGAATGTATGAGCGAGTGAACTGACTAACGAACTCAGAGGTGAGCTCTGTTAGCCCCTTTGGTGGAACGTGATGACCTTTCTTCATTAGCTGCTTTGTGCCCAGGTCATTTTCCCAAAAACTTAGAGGAAACCACTCTCTAGCCTAGAAGGGTAGACAGCACGTCCTTGCCTTGCCTTAGTGGCCAGGAGCAGGACGTTCTGTTCCCTGGAGGCCCCACCCAGGGCCGTGGCATCCTGGATCTTTTCCCCGCCTGCGGGTATAGGCACATTAATCCGGTTCCTCTTCATTCATTCATTGATTTGTTTCTTGGTTCACTGGACAAACATTTTCAAGGTCAGGTATGACGCAAGGCCTCTGCTAGGCATTGGAACCAATAACAGTAGTTTTCTGTTCTCTCTGCCTCAGACCCCTCGTGTCTGACCATCCCTCAGTTCCAAGCTTTGATGCCTTCCCAAGTCTCTCCTGTGAAACAAACAACACTGAAATCCCTCAAGATAACAAAACTTTTCCCTCATTCCGTGTGGCAGGGACTTGTTTCTGCTCCACAGTAACTTAGTGGCCCCTTTATCTCTTGCCCTTTGGAACATGAGGCAGACACAGGGAAAAAGAGACCAGAGAGTGTGCATGGGCCGGTCCAGGACGGACACTTAGCACTTCCACTCATCTTTCCTTGGCCAGAACTAGTCACATAATCGCAGCAAGTCTGGGGGAAATGGAAATGGAAGGGGGTGGGTGGAATGTCTGCTAAATTCCAGAGTCTCTGCCCCTAGTCCAGCTCATAGCCATTATCTCCCTTCTCTGCTCTTTCATCAGGCTTGGGGGAGGTTGGGGGGGAGAGATCAGGTTAGGGCCTGCCAGGTGGAGTTTAATCCCCCTCATGGTTCTTAACAGCTGTACAACCTCATGCAAATTAATTCACCTGTGTTATTCTACTTTTAAAATAGACATGAATTATGTAGCTTTGGGGACACTGGGGCTCCAATGAGGCAGTGAGTGGAAGAGCACCCAGCCATGTACTTGGGGCAGTTAGGTGCTCACTAAGTATTTGTTGAAAGATTGAGTACTTAATACTGACACAGCTCGTCACCACTGCTATTTGACACCTTCTTCCCCTCCCATCTGTGATGCCTTGAGTCTGGCTGTTCATCTTACGTGCCCCCACCTCTCAGTGCTCAGAACACAAGTCCTCAGGTATCATCAACTGATTTACAGTTCACAAGGTGCTTGCCCTCTCTTGGTCTTGTTTGTCCTCATAGCAATCCTACAAAGGAGGCAGACAAGGAACCGTTTCCCACATTTTATAGGGGAGGGAACTGTGTCTCAGAGGCGAAGGAAGCCTGAGCCACACCTGAGGGATCAGTGAGGTCTTGACCAAATACTCCGTCTTCCTGACCTGCCAGTTGACCACACTGGAAGCCTTGCCCTCTTTCCAAATCAACTAAGCTCATGGGGCTCCTAGGTCTCAGTTCTTCACTTGTTCGTTCATTCATTCAGTTGGCCATTCAGTCCTGTGTTCCTTGAACAGAGTTAAGTGTCAGCCTGTGCTAGGTGCTGAGCTGGGGCTGGGGATCTGGCAGTGGACAAGAGAATGGGGAGCGGGTCCCAGCCCTCTGGTTGCTCACAGACTAGTGGAGGGGGAGTAGAAATTGGATATTAAGAAAATAAGGACACAAATGGTTCTTTAGTTCTAATTGTCACACGTTACTGAGAGTGGGGGCTCTGAGTGAGGATAATGGAGATGATCTAACTCACTGAGATATATAGAAGTCTGGCTGACTTGAAGCAGGAGTAGAAATCAGGGGAAGGCCTGTGGGGAAGAGCTTTCTAGAGTGTTCTAGGATGTGGGAGCAGCAGTGAAGGAGGGGGAATGGAGCTCTCTGCTTTGGAGAACCAGAAGGCCCTTTGGCTGATTCTTGGTTGGGCATCTTCATGGTGGGCTCTGGAGGATGCATAAAGGAGCCTGGATGGGCTTAGTGGCTTGGCCGTCAGCTGTGCTGGGAGGGGTTGGCTCAGGCCATGCAAAGGGATAGTGTGTAGAGACCTGGCAGCTGTAGCCCCTGTCCTGTCTTCCAACATCAACCTGCATTAGAAATGCACCCCTCCCCTTCCCTTGCCCTCATCTACTTCTCTGCCCTGCAGACCCTGTGTGAGCAGCTTCGGAAGGAGAATGAGACCCTAAAGGCCAAACTGGACAAGGGCCTGGAACAGCGAGATCAGGCTGCTGAGAGGCTACGGTAAGTCCAGGCTCCTCAGAGCAGGGGTGAGGAGTTGGATGGCCAGGAGGAGGGGGTTGGTGAATGGCGCTGATTTCTGGGCTGAGGGCTCTGAGGCTTTGGATGTCGCTTGGTTCTTCTTGGGTACCTTGGGGAGTGTCTGTTTATAAAATGCCTTGAGAACTTCAAAAGAAGGTCTGTACAAATTGCACTTCTATCTTGGGAACTTGTCCCTAAGCTTTGCCTGTTAGCTGCTGGCTGGATGTAGAGAGGGCTCAGGACTGTGCTGCCGCCTGCTGGTCATCAGTGTGTTCGGCTCTGTTTTCCTGAGAACAGTCAGGGCTCCCTCATCTGGGCTACTGGGTCACGGATTTAATTATGCATTAGGATCACTGAGGGACAGGCAAGGCATACAAGATTACACTCCCACCCCTCCCTCCCTCTGCCAAGATTCTGAGTCCGTGGGTCTGAGGCAAGACCTAGGCATCTGTGTTTTCCAAAGGGCCCTGTGATTATGATGTAGGTTAGCTCAGGATCTCATTTGAGAAACACTGATCTTGACTGTCAGAACTCGAAGGGCCCTTTGATATCACAAGGGCTAAACCTTTACCTCTTCATGCAGAGGGAGGCTGAGGCCCAGCGAGAGGCATTGAGGTCCAGATAGAGTAATGTGTAACCACTGAGCCACTGTGCCATTTTGAATCTGCATATATTTATTTACTTCCAAGCAATTGGAGTTTTTTGTTTTTCTAAAAAGTATGTTTTTATTTCTTTGAGGGGGGAGGGAGAGGGGTAGAGAGATAGAAGTATCGATGAGAGAGAAACACCGATTGACTGCCTTCTGCGTGCTCCCTACTAGGGATTGAGCCCACAACCTGGTTGTGTGCCCTGACCAGGAATCGAACCAATGACCTCTTGATTCATGGGTTGATGCTCAGCCACTGAGCCACACTGGCTGGCAGCAGTTAGAGTTTTATAGCTATAATAACTCCATCCATGGATCCAAAAATCCAGGCTGGGGGAAAAACGCAGGACTAGAAGGCAAAAGTACAAGTCCCAGCTGTGTGACCTTGGAAAAGCCACTTTGTTTTTCTATCATTATGTGGAAACTCAGCTGGCAAACAGAACATAAATATTTCCCATATTTCAGTCACACCTGAATCTGCATCTCTGCTTTCATTATGTCCTGTATCATCTACCTTATTATTTACTGATGTTTTGACTTAAAATTATTATAAAGAAAGCTTTCACTAGGGTAAGTGGAAGACAGCATTATTTCTAATAAATAAAAGATAACTCTAACAATAAATGCAATGAAAATTGGAGGATGTTCATTGATTCTGGCTAAGTACCATTGCCCACTGAAGGCTCTGAGCCTGAAGCCTGCTCTCTCTTAGAACAAGGGAGCCTGGCAAGTACTGGAAAGGTGCTCAAGATGTATTAACATCAGACTGAGACTTTTTCCATGCTTTACACAGCAAGTTTGAACATAATAGGAAAGAATGTACCTTTGTCACTAGGGTGTGGTCCAGGGTTATTTAATGCAGGTTTGAATGCATCCTGAAGATCCCATGACTACAGGCATCCAACAGTTGGGGAAACCCTGCTATTGATGATTTGCGACTTCTAGGGAAGCCCACAGATTGCCACAGTAGCTTAAGGATGTCCTTTTGGTTCCACCCAAGGACAGGTTTCAGAGTCATGCCTTATAGCCCAGGAGTCAGCTGAAACTCAGATGAGAAATAGGTCTGAGGCCCCCAGCCTCCTTAACCCAGGGCCAGCAACGTGACTTCTGTGTTTGCCTCCGACCCAGGGAGGAAAACATGGAGCTCAAGAAGTTGTTGATGAGCAGCAGCAAAGAGGGTGTCTGTGGGCTGCCCGGCTCGCCAAAGATGGAAGGCACAGGCAAGAAGGGAGTGGCTGGACAGCTGCAGGTATGTGGTCAGAAACTCCTTCCACAGCATCCTGATTGCCGGTGCCCACCCTCTGTTGCCACCTCCAATGGCAGTGAGCTCACTGCCTCCTGCTGCAGCCAGTTCCACTCTTCGAAGGTTCTAATTGTTAGATAGTTTTCTTTAGCTTGGCCTGACAATCCACCTCCGTGGAGCTTCCGCCGCTCAATGCTTGTTCTGTCTTCAGCCACATGGAGCATCCATTCCCTGCAACACACTCAGGCTGCAGGCCATGACTGGCTCTGTGGCCCCCACAAACCCTCTCTTCTCCAGGCTGCATAGCTCCAGTTCCTCCAGCCATTGCTCATAGAAGGTGGTCTCGAGTCCTTGGCTCAGTGTGAGCGCATTCCCTAAAAACATCCCAGTTTGTCAAGCTCTCTCTTTTTTTAAAAAAATACGTCTTTATTGATTTCAGAGAGAGAAAGGAGAGGGAGAGAGAGCGATAGAAACATCAATGATGAGAGGAGTCATTGATCACCTGCCTCCTGCACACCCCCTACTAGGGATCGAGCCTACAACCTGGGCATGTGCCCTGACCAGGAATCTAACCGAGACCTCCTGGATCCTAGGTCAATGCTCAACTGCTGAGCCACGCCGGCCAGGTGTCAAGGTCTCTCTTACAGGGTGGCTCCTAAACGTCAATTTAACATCTCAGATATTCCTGGCAGAATCAGGGTGTTAGCCCCCTGCAAGCTTCTCAGGGGACTCTGCTAAGCTCCTGTGATAGCACCCTGGAGCCTCTGACAAGGAGAGAGGAGGCCACCAGGCCAGCCCACTTCACTTGCTCCCTTCCCACTGCTGCTCTAGCACTGGTTCACATCCATCACATCCAGTCTCCAAGCAGGACCTGGCTCTCTCCTCCCTTGCCCGGCCTGTGCCCCACCCTCCCCAGCACTGAGTCTTAGCTTCTTACTAACACACTTTTTCCCCGTTTAATGGGATTAATGGCTACACAGCAAGCCCCACACCTATGTAATAGTAATTATCCTAATAACTTAATTACTTCTTACTGTAGAGTTTACTCAAGACTCACAAATCTGTTGTCCTATTTGGATCTCTTCTGCCCCTGTAAGGTAGGCAGGGTCAGGACTATTACTCCATTACCCAGCCCTCCCTGGAAGCTGGAAAGGGTGACCTTCCAGAGGCCGTGTGTCATCACTAATCAAGCTTCCTACACCACTAGCTGTCAGGCAGATCTGGGGTGGGGCAGGGAGCCATGCTGAGAAGTGGCCATCTCACTTCCATTTACCCCTTCTGTCTGAGTCTGCCTTGTCTGTCCTTTCATGGAAGTGCTTTGGGGACTCTCCTGATCTCCTCTGGGTTCTCGGGATTCTCTGTGCAGGCCTCTTTACTTTTCCAAAGCCCTTTAATACCAGCTCATCTCAGTTGACTCCCCAGAAGGTCAGATGTTCTTGCTGCCTGCCCAGAGGAAGGCCCTGTGGGAGGCATATGTATGGGCAGTGGGGAAGCCTGTGTCCTGGATTCCTGTGGGAGTTGAAAGCTGGTGCCACCTTGGACAAGTTACATATATTCTCTCTGGCCTCAGTTTCCTCCTCTGCATAATGGAGATATTAACACCTATCTCAGAGGGCAGTTGGAGGGTTCGGTGATGTGATACCTATAGAGTAGGTTTAGTGATTGGCACATGGTCAACAGTGAATGTTAGCTGTTGCTTTTAATGGCAGATTTGGTGCCAGCAGCTAGGTAGTCTGACTCCTCTCTTCTTTGTGGAGATTAAGAGTGTACCCTCTGCAAGCCTGGTACCCCTTCTAGAGTCAGGCTCATCTCATCTTTCTCAGAGGAGGTGGGGGTCCCTGGAGGGCTCCCCCAGCCTGCTCCCTTTTCTCCAGGTTCTGTGGTGTGCTTACAGACCTTAGCCTGCAGGGGGCACTTGAGCCTTCCAAGTTCTGCTCTCAGGGCTCACCCAAGCCTGTAAGTCCTATAAAACCATAGTTCAGTGATCGAAACTAGAAAATGAAGTATGAACTAAATTCAGACTTTACAGATTTCACCAGTTTTTCACTCATGTTCTTCATCTGTACTGTGATCAATTCTAGATGCCACATTGTATTTAGTTGTCACAACTCTTTTGCCTCCTCTAATCTGTGACGGGTCCCAGTGGTTCCTTGTCTGACACTTTGGGGTTATACTGGCCAGTTATTTTGTAGTATGTCCCTCAGTTTGGGTTTATTGGGTGTTTTCTCACGATTGGATTGAGGTTATGGATTTGGGCAAGAACACCGCAGGAATGACGTCATGCTCTTATTGCATCACATCAAGGGTATACGATGTCAGTGTGTCTTATTACTGTCAACCTTGATCACATGGCTAATGGGGTGTCTCCATATAAAGTGACTAATTTTTCTTTGTAATTAATAAATACTTATTTTTGAGGAGAAATTTGGAGGCTGTGCAAATGTCCTGTTTCTCCTCACACGTTCGCTCACTGATTTAGGTATCCATTGGTGAATCACACTGCAGTGATTATGAAAGCTGTAGTATTATAATGACAACTTTGTATTTTCCCTCATTCCTTCTATAGTCACTAATTGGAATTCTTGTATAAGGAAGAGTTGTCCCTTCTCCCCATTTATTTAGTTATTCAGCTATTTTTTTCTACCAGTATGGACTCAAGGATATTTATTTATTCTTTGGGTTATAATCCAACACTATCAAGATTTATTTTCTTGTTCACCTTGTTCCAGCTTGGCCATAGGAAGCTCTTTCAAGTTGCCTCTTATGCCCATTTGACATGCCATTATTATTATTATCATTATTATTTTTGAGCACTTCCTTACTTTCTGGCACCATGAGATGCTCCAGACTCAATCCTGGCCCTAGTGCTGGAATTACTTGTCTAAGGGTCCTGTTCCTTTTTGTTGGAGAATGGTATTTAGAAACCAAGATCTGGGCCCTAGGTATGCTCATTGCTATTGGAGTGTCACTGCTTTAGGCTTTTTCAGAGGACAGAGCTAGCCTAGGAAATATGTATACATGTACTAATCACACATACACACACATCTTTATTTTTGTATCTTCTTAAAAACATTTAAAAATAATCATTTTATAAAACACTAAAAAATATATCTTTTGCCTTCCAGGCCAGAGGATTTGAGGCTGACATGGCGGAGGAACAGTTGGCAGTACCTTAGAGATAGAGCCTGAGCTGGGAAAGAAGTGGCCACTGTGGGTCAGGGAGGGGCAGTAATGGTCTCAGTGGACTTCCAGAAGGGGTTTAGTCATGGCCGGGATGCATAGCAGTGTCCTGGTTCGGTAGGAGGGTAGAGCGGTAGGAGACAGATGTCTGGGTGAGGGGCCTTAGAGGAGCTCTGAGCGATGAGAGAATTGTTATTTGAGGATTTGCTAAAGGTCCTTCTGTGTTTCTCCCCAGGCTAGTGCGACAGCAGGTAAGGTCCCAGAGGTGGGAGCCTTGGGTGCAGCTGAGAAGAAAGTGAAGATCCTGGAGCAGCAGCGCACAGAGGTAGGTGGCCTCCTGGAACCCACAGGACAAAGGCCCTCTGTGGCCCCCTTGGCTCTGGCTAGTCCTTGGTCACCGTGGTGAGTGGCCACGGTGATCACTGAACTATCTGCCCATTGGAGAAACCTACTGGACTCTTTTTTTATTAATCTTCACCCAAGGATATGTTTTCATTGATTTTTAGAAAGAGAAGAAGGGAGGGAGAGCGAGGGAAACATCAGTGTGAGAGAGAGATATCTGTAGGTTGCCACCCATACACGCCCCAACTGGGGATCAAACCCACCACCTAGATATATGCCCTGACCAGGAATTGAACCTGCAACCTTTTGGTGTACAGGATGATGCTCCAACCAACTGAGCCGCCCAGGCAGGGCTGTCCTGGACTCTTGTCTCTTAGTCAGTTCCCTAGCCCACAAGGGTCACTCTGAGGAGGTGGCATTTGGAGCACAGCCTAAAATTGTTGGCGGGGGAGGGGTAGTTTAGGAAGGCTAAACCCTGAATGATGGAAAGAGGTTGCGATAAGGTTGGGTGAGTTTCAGCCTCAGGAATGGGGAGCGTGGGGTTCATCTGTCACCTCACAGCTGGTTTAGGGAGGGACTATCATAGAAGGAGAGATAAGGTGTCTTCTTGTGCACTGCTTCTAACCAGCTGAGAGTCCTCAGAAGTTGAGGTTATTTCCTTGTGTCTCATGCTTGCTCCTCCCCCATCTCCCACCCCCAGGCCAGTATTTCCAGGTCTTCTTTGTTTTCTTAGCCCCTCCTCTACCCTGTCTGCCTCCCTGGCTCCAGCACATTTGGAAGTCAGGTTCCATTAGCCTTTTGCTTACAAACATTTATTTTAGTTTTCTGTTTGCATTGCGGTAGGGTATTTTTTTCTGATTATAAAATTAATACAATGTTCAATCTTATAAAAAGATTGAGACTCTCACCTCCTAGAGATAACCACAGTTAGTAACAATTTATTGCATATTCTTTGTGTTTTTTTTCTATGTACTTACTAATGTATAATCTGTTTCTTAAATTAGCAGAAAAAAAACATACATAGTGCATTGCAAATTTCTTTTTCCATTTTTTCTTTAAAATAAACTGTATCTTCAAGGCTATATATAGTATATTCCTTTAATTCCGAGTACTTGTTATTCTGTTTCTGAAATTGGGATACCCTTTCCTATTATTTTATTTATTTAATGATGTAAGGTTGTTTTTTGTCCCTGAGGAATTGTTATATTGAGAGTATGACAAATAAGCAGTGTCGTCTTAAACTGAGGCAGTTTTTTAGGTTTGCTGAATGGTGCTCGAGTTCTGATTATTCTGTAATTTCTGTAACCCATCTCCTATGTCTAGGTTGGCCTCTAGATTTTTTTTTTTTGTAATACAAACATTGTTGAGATGATCAGTGATATAAATATATTTTTATGTGCAAGTGTTTCTTTTGGCTATTTTTTTAAGAGTGGAATTATTGGGTTAGAGAGAATGAGAACTTAGAATTTATACATAGTCCCAAACTGCCCTCTAAATGGGTGTGTGTTACATAATTCTACACCAGACTTATATACTGTTTTTGTGTCTTTGTGTTAGTCTCACTGCCCTAACAAGGATAAAATGTGACATGTGCTAAAGGGGAATCTCTTTGATGAGCGTTGAGTTACTGAGAAGTAAGGGACTGAGGTGGCGTCTGTGGCCAGCGTTTGCACACACTGCGCGCATCCTTGGGAAGCTGGTGTGCATGGAGTTGGCTCTGTGGTCCTCCTGTGCTTATCCCCCGCTAACCCCCATCTCTCCCCACAGCTGCTTGATGTGAACAAGCAATGGGACCAGCATTTCCGGTCCATGAAGCAGCAGTACGAGCAGAAGGTAGTGTGGGAGTTATGGGAAGGCAAGGCCGAGCCCAGGCTCTGGGCTGCTGTCAGCACATCCCCACTGTCCTGCTGAGGAGCTTTGAACTTTGGCTGGTCATGCTCAAGCACCCCCTCTCTCTGCCTCTGAACCCAGATCACTGAGCTGCGCCAGAAGCTGGCAGACCTGCAGAAGCAGGTGACTGACCTGGAAGCTGAGCGGGAGCAGAAGCAGCGAGACTTTGACCGCAAGCTTCTCCTGGCCAAGTCCAAGATTGAAATGGAGGAGGCAAGTGTGACTGTTGGGCCCTGCTGGCTCAGCTCCGAGGTCTGCTTCTCCCTCCCCAGTGGAGTAAACAGTAAGCTGGGGCAGGAGTTGGGAGACCTGGGGATTCCAGCTCCGGCTCTGGTGCTAAAGGGTTGTGTGGCCATAGGCAAAAGCACTTTCCTTCCCCTTGCCCCAGTTTCCCATCTAAAAATTGGGAAGAGTGGATTCACTATTGCTTTTCATATTTTCTTATTTTCCAGCAGAAGAACTTTTTGTTCAGTTAGAATCTTATGGACTAGGGAAGCACAGAATATAAAAGAGAGAAGCCGGCCAGCTCTGGTGCTCTTGATGGGGGTGCGGAGCTGTTGCATGTTTAGAGTTGTGATGGCTGTTGGTTGGGGACACAGCTTCTTTATTCACTCATCTAGTCATTGCTCAGCAGAGCATACACTTGGCACTGTGCTGGGCGCAGAGACTCAGAGGTGAACAGTCCAGTCCCACCTTTGATGGGGAAGAGACGCTAAATTACTGATTACAGAAGCAAATAAGCAGAAGTGTGTTAAGTACCACACAGGAGAAGTTACCAGGACCAGGGAGGGGGCAGAGAGAGGAACCAGATTCAGTCTGTGGGGCCAGGAATACGTCCCCTGAAGAAGTAGCATCTGATCTGTCATGTGTGTGACTGATCCCAGCCAAGGCCCTTCAGGATCCTGTTACAGCCTAAAGAGGAAAGGCCGTTTGACCCCCCCAGGCTCCTGGGAGATTTTATTTATGTCGCAATGTCTTCCCTTTCATGGGAACTGGGCCCAGGCTGTTATTGCTTAGCTTCAAAGTGGACATATTCAACACATATTGCATTTCAGAGTTCCCTCTCATCAGCATGTAACACCCAGGGGCCTTATCTGAGCTGTCATCCTGTCTCAGTGATGGCGCCTTCCCTTGAAGATGAGCATTAGGGAGGACACTGCCTGCCTTTTCTCTTGAGTGCAGTCACATCTTGTGACTATCAGCCAGATCCCTGGGTCTTTTGGCCCTTCCCTTGGCTCACATCACAATAGGTGGACAAGTCCCTGGATCTGACAGCACCTCCCTCTCAGCTGGGGGAAGATGGGATGTTTCAAGACAAAGGGTGGCCCTGTAGATAAGGACACATGGCAGTAGAAGCCATGCTAATCCTGGAGCCTCTTTAGCAGGAGTCCAGAACAGCTCCCACCAGTGCTGACCACGGCTGCCCTCAGCAATCTCTGGCTGCCCACCCCAATTTTAAACACTTTCTGTGACTTTCAGGGTAGAGAGAGCTCTGGAATTGAGAGACCTGAGCTCTAGCCCTAGCTCACTGTGTAGCCTGGGAGAAGTCACCTCCCCTCTCTGCACAGTCATTTCCCATCATATAAAGGTGCTAGGACTTTATGCTCTCTAAGGGCCAATCCAGCTGGGCCCTCTGCAGTGAAGAAGCTGTGACTGTTCCATTGTGGGTGTGGGAGCCGTGCTTCCACCTTGAAGCCTTCCCTGCTTTCTTAGCTGTAGTGCTCTCTCTCTTAATCTCACATTCCTGTTTCTCTGTGGAGGAACACTTTCTGCCTTCTGCTGCATTTATTTATTTGAGTGTCATCTCTCCTCTAAGTTCAGAGACTGGTGGTTTCTTACTTTCTGTGTGTCACAGAAGATCCCTATGCAAATCTGGCAGAAACTGTGGCTTTTCTTCCTAGAAAATTGCACAGACAAAATTTTGCATTCAGTTTTGGGCCTCACGGATCTCCTGGAGCCCATGTGTGACTCACGTTAAGAACTCCTTGCCCTGGCCAGTGTGACTCAGTGATTAGAACATCGGCCCACGCACCAAAAGGTCTCAGATTTGATTCCCAGTCAAGGCCACGTGCCTGGGTTGCAGGTTTGATCCCTGGCTCCGGTCAGGGTGCTGCAAGAGGCAACCAATCAATGTGTCTCTCTCACATCAATGTTTGTCTCTTCCCCCTCCCCTTCTACTCTCTCTAAAAATCAGTGGAAAACAATATCCTCAGGTGAGGATTAACAACAACAACAAAAGAATTCCTTACCTAGAGCAGATAGGTAAGCTTAGACCAGAGAGGGCTGTGACAGTGCCCCAGGTCTCAGCTTGCTGGTAGAGGAGCTGGTAGAGAACCCAGGGTCTTTCACTCAACCAAACACCTCTTTGAGGACAAGACCACATGGGCATTACTGCCCTGACCCCAGGTGCCTCGCATGGTGCATTGTATGTGAGCCCGGGAGGGCTGCTTAGTGAGAACAAGAGAGGAGGCATGCTTGCGTGAGGTGGGGCAGGCAGCGCAGGGAGTCCCAGCCTCCTGGGGAGGCTTCCTGCTTACCAGCCCTGTGCTCCCTGCAGACCGACAAGGAGCAGCTATCAGCAGAGGCCAAGGACCTGCGCCAGAAGGTCAAGCACCTGCAGGACCAGCTGAGCCCACTGACCCGGCAGCGGGATTACCAGGAAAAGGAGATCCAGCGGCTGAACAAGGTGAGTACCTTGGCCCTAGTCTCTTGGGCAAGCAGAGCTTCCCTGAGCCCAGCTGCAACACCCACCCCGTCACCAGTGCCCCCGACCCTCAGCTCAGGAGGGGCCAGTCTGGGTCAGCGTGCTGGTGCTGAGGGCCTCGGTGCCGCCCGCCCTGAGGTTCCCCCGCCGCCTTTTCCTCCTCTCACACTGAGTGGCCAGCCCTGGAACGAGCCTGTGCTTGCTTCCCCTCCATGCCCTTGGACGTGCTGTTTCCTCACTCAGTGCCACCATGCTCATTGTTGCGGTTCAGTGAGGCCTTCCTCTAGTCTCGTTTAGGTCACTGTTCTATATACCTAGAGTACCAGCGACTTCTTTCACACCCCTTCGTGCATTTTCTTGTGATTACTTATTTAACATCCTGTCTCCTCATGCAGTGGTGGGGCATGTACCCCCAGCGCCTGGCACAGTGCCTGGCACCAAGCATGTGTTCAGGGAATACTTGCTGACAGGAGTGAATGAGCACAGGCCCAAGGGTTCCCGCCCTTGTGAAATGGGATCCAAGGAGACAAGGCACCTAGGGTGGGCTAGGTAAAGCAGAAACCCTCTCCTCTGAGCCAAGGCAAGTAGCAGTGGCTGGACCCTCTGGGCCTACATGCTGCCATCTGAATCCTGGTTAGACTCATTCTAGCCCTGCCTACCTTCCAGTGCAAGGTTAGAGGAACATACTGACAGAGAGAGCTTTGAGAGTAAACTTTTCTGAAGGCCTGGAGGAGTTGTTGAGTTTGGGCCAGCTCTTTCTTTCTGTTTGGTTTTGGTTTTAGAAAAGCATTGATTATGCTGAGTCTGGGGTCCTTGGGACTTGATCTTAGAGAAAATAATGACTTGTCGCAAGGTGGGGAGTTTGGGGTTGAAATCCAAGCAGAATACTGTATGTACGTGGTGCTGGTCACAGAGGTCGCCCAGGCAGGATCACTGCCCCCCAGGTTTCCCTGGCATAGCTGGGGACAGAGACACGGGTGTGGATGACTGATGTGAGGCTCTCCCTGTCCCTGGACTTTAATCTTCCCACTTGAAAAATGGGGCAGATGGAGTAGAAGGGTGAAAGGGAGCTTCAGCCTCCCCTTGCAGCATCCTGGATTGACTCTTGGCTCAGCGGTTTCCTTGTGTTTGTTGGGGAGTCAAGGAGACCAAATGGGGGCCCCAGTCCAAGTTGGGGAAGGTTTCCTTTATCTTTGTGCTGTCCAGGGAGGCACCATGGGCAATGCTGACATGTGGCTGGCAGAGGCCCTGCTGTCCAGGGGCTGAAGTTCAGGTGGGGATGAGGGTGGCCAGTCCTGAAAGGTGTTCCAAAGTTCTTGAGTAACATGTTAACAGGGTTGAAGGAGAAAAACAGTTAGTGGAAACCTTTTAAAATATGAGCAAGTTGAAATGAAAATCCAGTCTAATTTAACTTCAGAAGAGTTGAGGATGGAAGGGTTGGCTTGGTGGGAATGGGTTGTAGAAGCTGAAGAATCTCAGGGTAGGACAATTGTCCAGGAGACTGAAGATTCTCCCAAAGGATGAATATTCCTTCCAGGTCTGGGTGCTGGGCTTGAACCACACCGACCCAGGGAAAGGGAAATTCTCCCTTCTTCATGAAGACCTCAGTCTAGACTGGTGGTTAACAGCACATACTGGCTTTGAATCTCTACTTTGCTGCTTCCTAGCTGTATGACTGGACAAATCACTTCAGGTCTCTGAACCTCAGTTTTCACATCTGTAAAATGGGGATGATAACCTTTTCTTCCAGGATTGTGGAGAGGATTCAATGAAATGATGTGTGTGTAGTGTTAATAAATAAGGTAGCACTTACTAAATAGTACTGGTGGCAGTGGTTATTATCATTATTGTTTTCAGGAAAGGAGTCCCTGAAGATGGCCCTGCCAATGGGGCCTGACTTTCAGGACTTCTGCTGATGGGCCCATCTTCTCTCTTCCTGATCTCAGGCCCTAGAGGAAGCACTGAGCATCCAGGCCTCGCCATCCTCTCCAACAGCCTTTGGGAACCCAGAAGGATCTGGGGGCCTTCTCAGAAAACAGGAACTGGTCACGCAGAATGAATTGCTGAAACAGCAGGTGAGCCCTAGGGGAGGTGGCCAGGTAGGAGGTGCTCAGTGGGAGCTGGAGCATTCCTGAGTGCCCAGGATGGGCTTGGAGTCATGTGGACGCTGTAATTAGTAGCCCACTTTCTGGCCATTGGCCAGGACCCCAGCCTGGTTATAGGTTTATCCTTTCCTGTAGTGTGTCCTTAACTGGGTCGTTCCTCTGCCCCCTCTGTGATTTAGCCATCTCTACCCCACCTGTACCATTACCCACCTAGTATTTAAGAGTAAATTTTAAGTAAATTGCTTTCAGTAAGTGTAATTGAAAGGGAGCTTTATATCACTACTATAAATAGAAAAACCTGTTTGTAAATAAAAAAGTAACTGTAAGCAAGAAATACAGTAAAAGCACAACTGTGTTATTAGACTTGAGACGGATACTCTTGTCTGATGAAGACTCTGAACTTGAGTCCACATTTCCTATTTAAGGGAAACTAACACGTACTAGAAAGGCATTAAAGACATATTAGCATAAAAGAGACTTTCTCCTCGAGTGACGCAGGGGCTTTGAAAGGGGATTGAAAAGGTCACAGCTGTCCCATGTGTTTCTATGTGAAGCCATACTTTAGATGCTCCTGTCATCTCGAACCAATGAGCGTCTTACCTGTGGTAAGGATTTGAACCCAGCCCCTTCGCTGCCCGTCACCCCGAGCCTCGGGAGAGCTTTGCATGCCTTCTGCTCTTGGAGGATCTTTCATCCACACTCTGGCTGTGGCCTCTGCCTCTGGGTCCAAAGCAGAGTGAAATGATTGGACTGGCTGATAGCTGTCGACCTTTTTTTTCTCCTTTTTTAAAGCCACACATCCCTTGTTTAAATGAAGCCCTATGTTGAAGCCCAGAATATAAAAGAGAGGGATCCAGAACTACTCTGTCTGAAGTCAGTGGTGGGGCTGGAGGTGTATCCGTTCCCCACCCCACAGGGGCTGTTGAGATGGAGTAACACCAGCTCTGATGTCTGTGACTCCCAGGGTTTTGGACCCCAGCAGGCCTGAGCCTCCCCTCAGAGCTGCCCCTCCTCGCTCACGCTTGCCCTCCTCTCCACTCCTCGCCCCTCCAGGTGAAGATCTTTGAGGAGGACTTCCAGAGGGAGCGCAGCGATCGGGAGCGCATGAATGAGGAGAAGGAGGAGCTGAAGAAGCAGGTGGAGAAACTGCAGGCCCAGGTCACCCTGTCGAACGCCCAGGTGAGAAGAGCTGGCCCAAGGGAGGGACCACTGGCCTATCCTCGTGTGGATGGGGGCAGGGATTGGAGGGTTCCTGGTGAGCCTGGATGTTGGGATACACTGCTTGTCCTTTCAGCTTTGCTACCAAGTTTCTGTGGTCCTCAGCGAGACCTGTGCCCCCTTGATCTCTAGCTGACTTTTCACAGTCAGTCTGGATGCCTTTAAAGAGCAAATTCAGGGATTGGCCCTGAGCCCCTCATTCTCCTATAGATGCAACTGAAAAATGTCAATATGGAAGCACAGAGATAGTGAGCTCACTGGAACCCTTCTGACCTGTGTTCAGACATCCCACAATGAGCAGGCCTTACCTGTAGCCACTGGCATGGGTTGTGCTCTGCCCCACAGGGCCCTTCCCCAGGGCTGGGCCAGGCAGGACAGCCCACACTGGTACATCAGTCAGTCAACCCTGGGGCTGCTTAAGCCCAGGTCCAGGTTTGGCCAGGAAATACCTGGGCCAACAGTCTTCTCTCCGTCCTTTCCTCTCTTAGCTAAAAGCATTCAAAGATGAAGAAAAGGTGAAAGCAGCTCTCAAACAGCAGAAGAGGAAAGCAAAGGTGAGGGGGCTCGAGGGAGGAAGCAGCACTTACCTTGCTGACTTTCTTCAGGGAGCTATAGTCTGATGGGAGAGGCAGTGTGTGCTCAGGTGTCCAACTAACTAATGAGGTAATGCAGGTAGAGCACTTAAAACAGTATTTGGGACAGAGTAAGTGCTCAGGTCACATTAGCTGTCATCATTGTTAATATTCTTTGCCCATGTACCAGCATTCTGTACCCATGTACCAGCATTCCATGCCCATGTGCCAGCCATCTGTGCCCATGTACAGCATTCTCTATCCATGTATCAGCCTTCTGTGCCCATGTACCAGCCCTTCTGTGCCCATGTACCAGCCCTTCTGTGCCCATGTGGCAGCCTTCTGTGCCCATGTACCAGCTTTCAGAGAAGTAAAATTCTAGAGGATGAGAGACGAGATGGGTATCACTGGGGATGGCCGGTGCAGCCTGCCACAGGCCAGAGCCAGACATCAGCCTTTCTTGCAGGCCTCGGCAGAGCGCTACCACATGGAGCCCCACCCGGAGCACCTCTGCGGGGCCTACCCCTATGCCTACCCGCCCATGCCACCTATGGTGCCACATCACGGCTTTGAGGACTGGTCCCAGATCCGCTACCCCCCGCCCCCCATGGCCATGGAACACCCGCCTCCACTCCCCAACTCACGCCTCTACCATCTGGTGAGTCTGTGTCCCTCCTTCACCCCAGGACACACACACAGGCTGCCCCAGACACTTTCCAGAGGGCAAGGTCAAGTGAGGGTGTCAGAAACTTCATCCCTGTCTCCTTCCTAACAGCACTGTGGGGTGCGGGCAGACGTCCAGTGCCCAGCTCTGGCCTGCTGTCCCAGGGCAGGACTCTCCAGCCCGGAGCTGCTCAGGGTCACTGATGTAGGACAGAAAAGGCTGAGGAAGAGGGCTGGGCGGCAAGGAGGGCTCCCTCCAGCCAACCAGGCCATGGGTGTCAGAGTTTGGGTCTGACTTTTTCTTCTAACTTCCCCACGTGGCCAGGGACCACCGGTCCTCAGCGTGCATTCTCTCCCTTCCCTTTTGCTCTCCCTCCTCTTTTTGAGTTTCCTTTTCTCTCTCCTCTCGGTCTTTTTTTTTGCTTTCTTCTCTTTTCCTTGCTTACCATTATTTCTCCAAAGAGCTGCCACCACCTATCCCATCCTGCCCCAGCTCCCCTCAGGCATCCCACTCTCACCTGGACAGTGACAACAGCCTCCTGTCTGGCCTCTCTCCCAGCTTCTCTCCCTATGACCATTCTTTACGCACATCTTTAAGCACTGGAATATAGCCTGGGCTTGAGATTGTCTTTGGGATTATAGAGACCTGGGTTCTAGTTTGGCCACTTTCCTAGATGGATGACCTTTAAAAAGTTACTTAGCCCAGCTGGCACAGCTCAGTGGTTGAGTGTTGACCACTGACCTCCTATGAACCAGGAGGGCACAGTTCAATTCCTGGTGAGAGCACATGCCTGGGTTCCGGGTTCCATCCCCAGTTGGGGGACGTGCAGGAGGAAGCCGATCAATGATTCTCTCTCATCACTGATGTTTCTATCTCTTTCTCTCCCTCCCTCTCTGTGAAATCATTTAAAACTTTTTTTTTTAAAGTTA